GGCTGGCGCAGCGCCCGTGTCCCGAGCGTCACAGGTGTGTGTCCTCCTCGAACACGTCTGAGTCCTCTGGGTCGCGCTTGCCCCCCATGAGCGCGCTCCAGCTGCTTGGGCCGTTGAGCGCGCCCCCGCCATTCAGGCTTGACTGCTTTTCCTGCATCTCCGACTGGCTGTCGCTGGCCACGTCCAGCGTGGGGTTGTCGTGGCAGCCGTTCTCCACAAAGCGCAGCTCCTCACCGTGCGACTGTGGGGACAGGACGAGCACGGGGCTGCAGTTGGGGGGCTGGATCCTGTGCCCCAACCAGAGCAGCTGCAGGCACAGGAAAGCCCAATCCAGGGTCCCCAAAGGCACCAGATGCAAGGTCCGCAGAGTGACTGCTTAATGATCCTTTGCACAAAGAAGTCCCTGTGTCCTCCCAGACGTCTGGTCCCTCCCACTGGCCCCTGATCCCCACAGTATGGACTCCAGGGCTGGGCTAGGGTGTGGCAGCACTGCCCCCTCTTCCTGAGGGGCCTCTCTAGCTCCCCATGGGTGTAGCCAGTAGCCCCTCACTCTGTATCTCCAGCACCCTCGGGGCCAGCAGCAGGATCAGCCCATCCCTGTGTGCCCAGGACCTCTGCTCCCCCGAAGGCCTCCTCTCCAGCCCCAGCCCTGCCCCAGGCTCACCACGTGCTTGAGCTTGGGCAACCGGCGCTGCCAGCAGTTGTAGAGCAGGCCCAGCACAATGATGATGAAGCAGATGACGCCAATGATCAACAGCACCACAAAGAGTGTCCCGTAGTCGCTGCGCACCTGGGTGGCCCTCGCCTGACAACTGCTGGTGGTGGAATAGTTCTGGATGCCAATCTAGGGTGGGAGGGGCCAGCCCTCAGTGGTGGGCTCCTCAGGTGCTCAGAGGTGGCTGCTGCTGCTCTTGGGGCTGGGACCTGTGCTCCCCGAAGCTTGCTGTCTACCCTGTCTCTGACTTGTCCACCCAGGGATGCCTCCAAGCTTTACCCCATGGCCACCTTCCCAGGCCCTCACATCCCCACTGTGGCCTCTGCAGAGCACCTAGCTGTGGCTCTCGCCTCCGTGGAAACGGTCCCCTGCTGCTAGTCACTCTCCACCTCGATGCAGACCCCCGCCTGTCCCCACCAGTTAAGAGAGACATGAGGGCAGCTGTGAGCCCTATGCCTCCCCTGAGTCAGGCCTGAGGCTTAGCTCCCACCCCCTGGGATGGGCTGGGGGTTCCAGCATTGCCAGGGCCACCATGTGCCGCACAGCTTACACAGCCTAAATGGAGCTAGGATGCACCACCCTGGCCGCCCAGCAACCCCCTGTGCCTCGAGTGCTACTGATGCCCTGTGGCCGTCCAGCACTGTCTCGCCCCTGCACTAGCTAGGCCTGGTGTCTCCTGAGGGCTGCAGCAACCCCTGGCTGGACAGAGCTCGAGGCAGCTCAGAACCTGGCTAGGGCAGCAGGAGGCCCTGATGCAGAGGCCTGGGCTACCCAGGTGCCTATAAAGCCATGCCTTCCTTGACTACCGCTCATGTCCAGCACTTTTCTCTGGTTTCTGAAGTTAGCAAGTCTGTTTTTCTTTTTGCTAAAGTCATCCCTAGTGCCTTTGCTAAATCATCCATGTTGCACTTCCAGAAACCCAACGTGACCTCTGTCGGGTCAGTCTGGACTGAGTGCCCGGAAGGGAGGGCAAAAGGCAGGCAGGCCTGTGCACACCGCCCCCCAGTTCCCACCAGTGCCTATGAGCCAGTCACCCCTGTGCGTTCCAGCTCCAAATGAGTGGGGACACAGGAGAACTCAGAAGGTGAGACCACAGAGGACGGATGAAGTGAGGCCCTGTGAGCCTGGCCTCCCTGCTCCTATCCCTGTGACAGCCAAGGCAGTGGCCTGGAGTCAAACACTGCACAGCTGAAAGGTTTAGAAGAGTGATGACAGGTCACTGTGGCCCACTGGGGTGACGGGTAGTTTGTGGACACAGTGGCTGTTCCCTCGGAGCGCAGGCAGCGTGGGGCAGCCTGTCCCGCCCCAGCCCGTGTGCTGCCAGCTTCTCCACCCAGGCCTCCCCATTTCCCAGTCTGTGCCCTAGCTGCTCACCCTGCTGAGGGCCCCACCAACGACGCTGGCCACTGCCTTTTGGGGTGCTCACCTGATGTCTCAGTGGGACCTTGTGGGCACTGTGGTTCCTGTAACCTTCGTGGTGTTTCTCCCGTAGGCCTCCTGTCCTGATGGCTTCCCCCACCATTGCCCACAGCACCTCCACCCCCGCCTATGCAAGCACTGCATGGTGAGTGTCCCTGCCCCATCTCCCCCACAAGGCCTGAGACAGCCACCCAGAGCACAAGTTCCGAGGCGCAACGTGTTCCCAGGTTCCCCCAGTCCCCCATTCTCACCTCCTCCAGACTCCTTCGGATGTCACCCAGCATGGAAAGGACATCTTGGGTGGGCACCACCCCTGAGGACAGAGACATGGGCATCAGCACAGTCATGGCCCTGCTTGGGGTCTCCATGGGTCTCCAAGCCCCACCCACCCACCTTCTTGCTCTGATGACACAGAGGTCCTCAGGGAACATGGGCCCCCAGCCCATCTCCGACATCTGTGACACTTGTGGCCACCTCTGAGCTTCCTTACCCATGTGCCCACTGTCCAATCCTGCTCCAGGTCCACCCCACCACCACCAGGACCTCCTCAGGTCAGCCGGAGGGGCCCCTCTGCGCCCCTGCTCACCCTGCTCGCCCACCAGTGTCATCAGGAGGTGCTGTTCCTTCTCGCTGGGCTTGCTCAGGGATATGTGCCAGTCCCCACGGTGGCCACGGCGGTGGCGGGGCAGCACCTCCTCCACCAAGGCCAGGAGCCGCAGCCCCCTGTGCTGCCGAAACACCTCCTGCAAGGCAGGGACAGTGGCTCTGGACCCCTCCGCTCCCACCTGGGCTGCTCTTCCCTTGCCTGGCGGCCAAAGGATCCTTGGCTATGCAGAGGAGCTCTGTGGACCAGTGAGGGGTTGCGAGGTTGCCACTGTGGGAACCCCAAGATACACCCTGCTGCCCACTCCTTGCTCAGCCTCTGACTTGAGGAAGGCATGGGGCCAGCCAAGAGACACCACTGAGCAAGGAGACAAACACACCCATGCACAGTGGTGACGAGTCGAGGACATGGGTTTGTGGCCATCACCTTGTTCCCAGCATGAAACGTGGCACAGGATAAGCACAAGTAGCCGGGCATGGTGGCGCACGCCTGTAATCCCAGCACTCAGGAGGCTGAGGCAGGAGGATCCCTGTGAGTTCGAGACCAGCCTGGGCTACATAGTGAGTTCCAGGTCAGTTTCTACTACATAGTGAGACCTAAAAAAAAAAAAAAAAAAAAAAAAATGTAAGCACAGGAAAGGGGACCACACACATGTGCAGACAGCACTGGAGCGTGGGGAGTTGGTGGGTGCAGGCACAGTTCCCTGGCACCACAGACACAGCCTGGTGTGGCCAGTGCAACCCCAGGAAGGGGTCCAGGCCTGGAGCATGAGAGGCAAGAGACTTCTTTCCGGTCTCACACTCACCTGGACCACTTAACTTTTCTTCCCATGTGCACCCATAATTACACAATTAAAACACAAACGGAACCTGGCCCAGGACAGGTCCTCGAGGAGTGGCAGGAACTAGCACTCAGCCTCTTGCCCACAGCACAGCTCCCATCTGTCCCTCCTGCATCCCTCTGGGAAGCAGCCCTCCTTGGTGCTGCAGCTGCTGCCCATCCAACTCCCCTCCACAGCGCTTCCGCCTGTCCACACGCACAGGCTCCCGGACCCCAGCTGCTTAGCTCACCCGCAGGTGCTGCACTGGGGCTGAGAGCCAGGGCTTCCAGGAGGCGTGGGCATCTCACCAGGCCATGGCCCTGGGTTTCCTGCCACTCCCAGCCTCTTTGCTGCTGCAGCCCAGGCCAATGAGTGGCTCCTCATTGTCGTGCCAACCCAAAGGCTGGTAGGGCTGACTGAGGTGCTGGACCTGTGTTTCTGGTTACCATAGTGAGTGCAGGCACGAGCTCAAGCCTTGACATTCACTGGCCTCCAGCTCAATGCAGTTTTAACGTGGGGCCCAAGGGGCAGTTACTCTGCAGCCAGTTACTCTTGCCAGGTTCCTGCTTTCCCCGGGGATGGGGCTGGCCACACCCACCCCAGGCCAGGGTGCCAGAACTGGGTTCTAGTGCCCCCATCCTGCCGAAGGGCTCTCTTCACCCCTACACAGGTTCCACATCTCCCTGGGCGGAGGTTCTGCCCACCTCACACTATGGGGTCCTATGAGAATAGACATCACACCACCTGTTAGACAGGAAAACTGTGTCTGTGGCAAGAGGAAGGAGCCCTAGCTTTGAAATCTAGTAAAGTCAGTTCCAATCCTGGTTCTGCCATTTATCAACTCTGACTGTCAGCAAAGTACATCTCTCCGAGTCTCAGTTTCCCCATCTAAAAATGGGGGCAATGGTCCCAACACCCTGGTCCTACTGGGAAGATTAAAAGAAAAGTACCTGGGGCTGTAGCTTAAGCCAGGTGTGGTGGTGCACACCTGTAATCCCAGCACTTTGAGAGACTGAAGCAGGAAGACCACACATTCAGGCCTAGACTTGGCAACTTAGTGAATTAGTAAGACACCGTCTCAAAACAAAAATGAACAATAAAAAAAGGGCTGAGGGTGTATTACAGTGTGAAGCCGCTGGGTTCAACCCCCTCGTGGGAAGGCAAGGAAAGGTAAGCAAGAAAAATACTCATTCACAGGTGCTGGGACTGCTGGAAAAGCAAAAACAGGCCTCAACTCATACCTCACACCATCAAGTGCAGAGCACGGCTATCCAGGCCATGAGCACTCCTGCACTGGATCTTGGTTTCTAAACACCTTTCCTCATAAAAAGCAACCAGAGCCCCCTGCACGAATGCTCAGTTCCAGGCCTGGGCCGGCTTTGCTTCTGCGCCTTGTCTGGGTGACCAGGGTTTCTCTAGAGACCACCAACGCCCGTGTTCTCCTCTTCATTCCATGACTACATCCGTGGTGCTGGGCAAAGGCTCAGGTCCCTGCATCTCAGAGTGAGGGTTCTCTTTTGCCTCCGGAGTTCCCAGGTCATAGCTCTGAATGCCCCCACTCTATCTTCCTGCTTCCTCTTCTGAATTCTCCAGAGCCTCTTTTGGTTTCCTGTGATCTCAGGTAAAATGGAAGTTGGCACGTCTGCATTGCATTTGCAGAGTTTGAGGATCAAATCCTTGTGCCACAGTTCTAGCTTCTAAAGCTTTCCTTAAAACACTGTTGACAGCTCTGCCTCCTTCTGTTATTTTTTTTTAAGGTATCTGGAATAGAACTCAGGGCCTTCTGCTTACTAGGCAGGTGCTGTGTAGCTGAGCTATATCTCTGGCCCAGTTCTTTCTTTTTCTGAAGATACAGCCCCTGCATAACCTCCCATTTTTTCCACACATTATTTCTGTTCTTTTCAAATATATCAAGATCATCAGCCAGGGATTTAGCTCAGTGGTTCTGCAGCCTACCTTGAAAGTTCAAGGACCTGTGTTCAATCCCTGGTACAAAAAAAAATTAAATTAAATTAAAAAAAGATCAAGATCATCAAACATAAAGAAAGGCTGGGAACTTCACAGACTTAAGGAAAACATGAGAGCTAAATGCAGGCATGGTCTTCAGGGATATCCTGAACCACTAATGGGAGAAAACACTGGCAAAACCTCAAATAATGAAGTGGGTAGATCAAATCAAAAGTTTGCACCAATGTTAATCCCTGATTTTGATCACTGTATTGTGGTTACCTAAAGAATATTCTTTTTCTGAGCTAATGTATTTAGGCTGGGCCAAAAGGGAACAATACCTTCAGCTTTCCCCCAGTTGGTTTGGAAAAAGTCTGGTAAATCAGGCTGAAGTGCAATGTGGAATTTGTACTATTCTTTCTATAAATTTGAAATTATATCAAAACACATTTACGAAAGGAATGTAAGAAAATTAAAGATATTTTTACATAAAGGCGGAGATATCTTTACAGAAAGAGCTACTAAAGGACAGTGTTAAGAGTCTGCATCTTAAGTGTCCCTCAGAGGCCATGAGCTAAAGGCTTAGCCCCACCCAGGGTGTATGGAGAGCTGGCAGAACCTTTAAGATGTAGAACCTACTGGGAGGAATTCATGTCACTGGATGACCCCTGAAGGGGATATTAAGGTCCCAGCTTGGTTCTCTCTCTGCTTTCTGGCTGCTGTAAGGTGAACAGCCTCCTCTACCACCACACCCAGCATGATGAGCAGGCCTGGCTATGGCCCTCAAAGCACTGACCTCTGAAACTAGGACCCAGAACAATTTTTTTTCTTCTTATAAGTCATTTATCTCAGACATTTTGTCACAGTAATGGGAAGTTGACCAACATACAAAATGGATACTGAGGGCCGGGGATTGAGCTCAGTGGTTTTGCTACCTGTCTTGTAAGTGTAAGGTCCCAAGTTCAATCCCTGGTAACAAAAGAAAAAGCGTACTAAGAAGTATGACTGTTGCTGTGACTATACTCAACAATGTGGTTCAGCAGTCTTTGGAACTGGGTTATGAAAAATGTTTAGGAAAGCTTGAGGAGTGAGCTAGACTAAGCCGGGAGTGCTGTGAAAGGAGCTCAGTGGGTAATTCTGTGGGGTGCTCAGAAGACCAGAATGCAGATGGGAATGCAGATAGTAAAGTCTATGCTGATGAGCTTTCGGGTGGGAATGTTGGAGCAAAATTCTACATGGTATTCAGACCTTGGCATAAATACGGCTGGCTGCTTTTAGCCATTTATGTGAATCAAAATTTAGTAGAACAAAAAGATTTGGAAAATCCTGCAGTTTGGTCAGAAAAGGAGGGCACTTAAAGTTGGCCAAAGTTGGGGGGAGTTGGACCAAAGAGGGTATGGAGATTGGTGCCATTAAAAAAAGGAACCAAGCACTTTGCACCAGGACAAAGGAAAGATGGCTTGAGGGCATCTCAGGAATCAGCAAGACCTCACTTATCATCACATAGAGCAGCTTGGGAATTGTTGGCCAATTCATTTCCCTGTGTTCAACTGTCCAGGCTCTTTGAGACCACAGCTGCCAAGGCCCAGGGGGCCCAGTGATTGCCTCTGCTGGCAGTAGATCTTGTGTCATGTTCATGGTGCAGGTATTATAGGCCTGCAGAATGCAAATGTTGTTGGGTCACAGAGGCATCCAATTAGCTTTCAGGGGAAGCCCTGGGAGGACAGTGTGGCAGTGTCAGAGTCCCAGGAAATGGCCCCTGAGAGGACAATATGTGAGGCCGGGAGAGTGAAGCTGAAGCTACAATGGAGACCCCAGGAAGATAAAGATCATGTAAACCAAGAGTGTACACAGCCAGCCCGAGAGTGTGCTGTGTGGGATTCAGCCATTGAGGATGTAGGGGTGGGATGTAGGGCTGCCCAAAACCTTGAGGACTCCCACCCCACCTCATGAGGACCATGTGCACCAAATGCTGGACACAACTGCAGGATTTAGTTTGCCCTGCTGGGCATTGGTCTTGCTTTGGTCTGGCTCCGCCTTGCTTTTTTGTTTGTTTGTTTGTTTGTTTTTTGGTTTTCTTGGCCCTGGGGATCAAACTCAGGGCCTTGTGCTTGAGAGGCAGGATCGGTGCCACTGAGCTAAATCCTGGGCTGACCTTGCTGTTTTGCTCATCCTCTCTTCTGAAATGGGGATGTTCCTACTCTACCATCACATGCTAGCAGCAGTACAGAGCTTTCTGACTTTTACAGGGACTTCCAGATGAGTGTGCCTTTCGCCTCTGAGAAGACTTTGGACTTAAACTGCTCAGCAATGCCGGAACTGGACTGAATGCATTAGGCACTGCGAGAATGACATGACACTTTGAGGGTTGG